TTGAAACTGCTCTGCAAGGGAGGGAGGGAGGACAGTGAGGTAGACAGAGCGAGTAATGTGATTTCTGTAGGAAGGCTGTACAAGGCCAGGTTGGATGGGGCTCTCAGCAACCTAATGTTCCTGCTCATAACAGGCATTTGGAACTAGATGAGTTTCTTCCAACTCAAAATATTTTATGATTCTATGAAATCATAGAATCATAAAACAAGAAATTAGGCTTAAATGTGTTGTGTATTTAAAAGTACAAGTGGTAGAAGCAGTTGCTAATTTAGAAATGTGTCTTTCAAAAAGTGTCAGTTTGAAACAAGAAGCTTTAACACAGGCTTTATAATAGGTGAAAATTCAGAGTGAAACTGCATTTTATTTCTTTGATAGTGGAATTAGGGCATGAAAATTAATTTTGGAACAATGCTGCTTCTCTGAATACAAAACCCATTTTAATATAATCAAAGCAAATCATTCTGCTTTAACCAGATAAAGATAAGGGTATTTTTCTTTCTTATTTATTTCATTTTAAATTCTAATTGCCTTTCTGATCCAGTTTAGATTCAGTTTAGCACAATGTGTCAGCATAATTGTAAGGGAGTGTGGTATGTGATGGCAGAGGAACAAGCAACCCAAGGTGAAGAGAATAGGAACCACTTTTAACCAGCTCTGCTGCTTTAATTTGATTCTTGGGTACAGTAGCACAGATGTTCATGTCCTGCTAAGTCCTGTTGGACCCACTGGAATTACTTCACTCAAAAAATCGGAAGCGGGGACAAACTATACTCCAGACCCACTGTGTGAAGTCTTCTTCCTGTTTCCAGTACTCGCATGGCAATTCAGAATGGCTGTTGGACTTGTTTTATCCCCTTAATATGTTCTTCTGTGTTCATATTTTTGACTCTTTTCTGTACCAAGAGTAAAAAAAGGAAAAAATAAAATGTGGTGGTCAGGGGTGTCAAACAAAAAACATGTTTGTTTTCCTAATAGATGCAAAATAATTTATGGAATAGATCAGAATACTAATATAATCAGTGAAAGGGTAGGTTTTAATCTCACTGTGGAGAATGGAGACAAATTTTACCAAAACTTATTAATGTCTGAATGCCTGAATTAGATGGCATTACCTCTTTAGATGTTAATATAATGAAAATCAGTAAAAATTGTGGCCCCATGTAAGGTGTATGGTGTATGGTTCTGCTTCATGTATGGGACAGTGGTCTAACAGACTGATTGCTTCTTTCCCTACAATATTTCTGATTTTTTCAAAATAATTACAGGGTTGTTTTTCCTGTCTTTTTGGGAAAAGTGCTGTCTGCTGAATTCTTTAGGTGGTTGCTCACTGAAGAACCAAGCACTTCTGATGTTTCTTTTAAAATTACCTCTTTTTAGGGCTACTGACTAAATTATATTTCCCCATTACCTATGTTCTTAACATGTAGTATCAACAGCCAGCTGTATCACTTGCCACTTGCAGTGGAATACAAAGTCATGGCAAACAGTTTAAAGTCTAGCATGTTCAACAGATGTCTGGTTATCCTCTTTTTAATATTTATGGGAAAAGGTTAAAATGTTTCCAACACAAGCCAGACCTATGAGTGGTCTGTGTGGGAGCTAGGTGCTGTTGATCTTTGCTGGTCTTTGCAGTCCAAGTTTCAGGTTGTTGTACAAATAGAAAGTGGTTTTCTTTTCTGGACTTCAGTGTACTTCCTTTTTCTTATCAGAAAAGGTAACCAGACTTTGTATTCTCAACTTTGCTTTGACTTTATGACTGGTTAGCCTAATTTCTAAATTGGTTCTCAAAGGAAACGAGGTTTATATGATTTCACGGGCAACTGCCGTTCTGTTTGAGGCCCGTTTGCTAACTTAGGTCAAATTTGGCAGGGTAATGAGTGCTTCATGCAGAAATGCCTTTCTGCCAGTGTGTGAGGCTGGGGTTGAGGGAGAGAAACCAGTATATAGGATGAAGGGTATCTTATGTGTGATCCCATGTTCTGCTTGCCTTAGGAGCTGTCTGGTGTATGTGCTCTACAGATGTGTTATGCAGGCACTTGGAAAGAGCTTTAGGATGACATGTGGTTTCACTAGGTGGTAACTGATGCTCTAGGTGGGAACTGTGGGCCATGAAGGGAGAGACTGGGGATAAGGGCAGATTACTGTGAAGAACTGAGATGGGTTTTTGAAGGGATCTCTCTAAGAGATGTGGAAAAGGAAAACCTGCAGCTGTCTGTGTCCTCTGTTCAGATTCTGGGACAGAAAGAATGGTGAGCATCTAGTGGAACTCTAGTTATTTACATCTTGCATGTACATTGCTTTTTCCTTTGTAATAACTTGCATGCTGAGGTCTAGAAGGGCAATCTTCAGAGGCTACTGCTTTAAGTTTATCATGCTGCTCTGACAAGCTTTCCTTTTGTGGTTGAGATGTCAGTCTTTAACAACAGAGGCACTTATGACACTTGATAAATATTGCTTTTAGAAGTGAGCAGTGCAATAGAAATGGAAAAACATTTAGATAAAATTTATTTTATAACATTTGCTTCTTGGCTTTCTGTCTCAAGGTACCTGATGATAGTGAGAAGTGCCTTTCCTATGGAAAGTGCTGAGAGTGATAGGATCTATCCAACATCTGCCTGTAGTTCTCTTAGGAAGAAGAAAAGGGCATGGAAACATGGGATGCAGTAGATTAATGTTTTTCAGCAATAGAATAAATTGCAGTTTGTTTTATTAGATTTAAGATAGGTATTACCTTTTTGGAGACAGCGAGTTTTTTATGAAATATTTTTGGTTGTTATGAATGTGCAGTTTCTGATAATACCTGATAAGTATATTTGAGCTCTCCTGGTTCTTGCCATGTATGCCACAATAAACAGCCCAAATTTGGTCAAATATTTTTAGCCACTTAGTCATATGTCTTTTAATGTGCTGCATATGTAAGCCTTTGATTCACTTAGCAACAGCACTTTTATGAGTATGTCTTGCCAGGTTTTCTCATGTGTATTTGAAAAATAGGCAAGGATCGTTGGGTTATGTCACAACCAGATGGCTGGGTTTTTGGTTTTTTGGGGTTTTTTTTTTGGTTGGTTGATTGGTTAGGGTTGTTTTGTTAATAGTGCTAATCAGTTTTAACATAGCTTTTTTTCACAGATGCTGAATTTTTGGGAATTTTAAGATAAGCATGCAGCATATTAAAATTAAATATTCAAATACCTATATTTGAAAAATATTTCTGATATAAATTTATTTTTTCTTATAATTGGGTAGTGAATATTATTATATATATAGAATATCCTGAAAAACTGGATATATGTCTATATATAGTTGATATTTCTCTTAAGTGTAAACATCTGAGTTTCTTGAATTTGTTTTCCTCCGAAACTGGTTAATCATGTCTTGCATTTGGATTCTTTTTCACTAAGTTACAAAATGTCTTACAGAAAGAGGCGAGTCTCTTTTTTCAGAGCTTGTTATAAGTGTATAATCATTGTACACTATTGATAAGTGGGAGAAATTGAAGAAAAATATGTTTGACAAACTTGTAGTCTCAAACTTGTAGTTTTTATTGTTGGAGTATGTTAAGAAATTATTTTGTTAGGGATGGATATGACTAAAAAGTTTTCAAGTCCATTTTCAAGAATACCTGAAAAGGTAGGGAGGATTTCATTCAACAATGGGATTTTGTTTTTAGCTGAAAAGCAAATAATGCAAGCAGTGTATTGCAGTCTAGCTGCAGTCTAGCTGTACCTAACTAAAGCAAATGGAGTTAAAGAAGGATAATTTGTGTCTGGTTTTGTTTGGTTGGTTATACTGGGCAGCAACATCCTCCTCTTGGTGTAGCTGTTGCCTCAGCATTGCAGAATGAGGAAAACTAAAGGATTCATCTTTCAGCGTGCAATTGCTTAAATAGGGATATCCAAGTTGCTTTCTTTCTATAGTAAAATATTATGTAATTTTGGGTATTTTTCAGAAGTGTTCTAAAAATTAAAATTTATACTTTAGTTGCATTTTATTAGAGGTGTAATTCCCTAGTAGGATTTAGGAGCCCAAGAGTAGAGGTTCTCATTTCAGCCATGTGGATATGTAGTATTGTTGATTTATTAAGCTGAAAAATTTAAACCAGTCTTGTGGGGTCTAGCTGCTTGGAGTTCTTGCTGCCCTGAAATGCAGAGGGACTTTTCTCTCAGTTGCTCTGCCCTTTTAAGGGCAGCAGGATAGAAGTTGGCAAGAAAACTCACCGAGCACCCTGTGAGAAAAATACTCGAACACAGAGAAGAAAGGCAAAACAGGAGTCAGTCGAGATGGAGGTCTGGAGAATGGCAGTAGTTCTGCATCTGAGCAACGCTCTTTGCTTGGTAATTAAGAGATGTGGGCAGATGATAACATTCTTGCAATTGCCAAAATGATACTCAAATAAGTTTATAAACAGGAGTGATTAATAGACTGTTAAAAGATTTATGGTGGTATAGAATATACTACAGTAGAAAACAGTAGGGGGATGTTGAAATACTGTGTAGGATCCCCATCATACTCCATAGTTACATCTACATTACAGGTAAAAATCACATTATGGTATTGTTTTAAAAGTGCTTCCCTAGTTCTTAGTCACAATTCTACTTCATGGTGTAACTGTTCATTCAATTTTAATATCCACTCAAGTGGCTGAGCTAGGCCTGGGACAAAGTGAGGACCTGAGGAACAACTTTATACTGGATAATAAGAGTTCAGTGGGGATTGTAAACGGCTTCTCAGAAAACAGAATGCATTTATCTAAGGAAATTATATTTTTTGACTTTTTTAAACTGTTTTAACTCATTTATTTTAGAAGTTTTATAAATCTGGAACACCTGCTGTTTCTCTCTTGAATTCTACCTGTCTTGCTCTCAGACCCCAACAAAGAAACCCTACTTCCTCATCAGAACTGAAAATACTTATATTTTATCCTGAAGATTTTGCTTAAAGATTCTAAGTATTGTAGAACAGCTTTGATATTAACTTACTTCTTCATTCTTTCTTTTTAGGCTTGTATAGATGATAACGTAGATATGGTGAAATTTCTGGTGGAAAATGGAGCAAATATTAATCAACCAGATAATGAAGGCTGGATACCTCTACATGCAGCTGCTTCCTGTGGATATCTTGATATAGCAGAGTAAGACTTTTTCCTCTATTTTTAAAACCTATGTATTTTGCTAATACATTGCTAGAGAGACAGTAGAAGCAGATGGGATTCATAAGTTGCCTCTTGTGTAATGAGGATTATGCTTTGATACTGTGTATTGATTATGAAATGTGCTACATCTGTAACTTTGTACATTGAATTTTCTCTTTCTAGTTTTTTAACATTGCGTATTAGGTAGATACAAACATAAACATAAGACTGCTTATGACTGTCAGTTGGTTTTTTGTTTTTTTTTTTTCTCTAGAAAGGTTTTCTGGGGAAAGGCACAGGGAGAATATTCCAAACTACATTTATTGATAGTCTGAAACTTTGTCCTGGGATACGTCTGTGTGTAGGAGATAAGTTTTACAGTTGTATTTGCAGTCTTGAAACTGTTTTTCAGCTATGGTAGCTATGCTATAGAACAGATGACTAGTTCTTTTGACTGTGGAGCAAAAGCCTACAGTAAAAGATGGATGCTCGTTTCAGTATTAGTTAAAGCTTACTCACTACTGAATTCCAGGATTGGTTTTGTTATTTTTGAAGTCTGTTGGGGGACACTGAGGGTGTGCTAAAATCAAAATTTTTGAGAGGTTATCTGTTCAAGCATAAAATTACGATTCTTTTGAGAAAATGTGTGGCATATGTTATTCAGGACACTGTTGTTGCAGCTAAGCAGTTAATAAAGTCTTTTTTAAAACCCATTGGGTAAACTCAAAATTCATTAATTTTACCAAACTCATTGTGACATCTGATCCAGTGTAAGATTTGGATAAAATATAAAGTCATTCTAGAAAGAAATTTTATCATGTAGTTATGTACTAATTGCAGTGGTGAAGAATGAAAATTCTTCTTCATGGTGAGTTTGTTCTGTGAGTTTGAGAATTTTACTTGCTGCAGTCTAGAGAGAAGTGAAAAATTCTGGGAACTCTAGTATATTATTTTCCATGGAATTTTTTTTTTTTTTTTGAGGTGTTTACAGAGTGACATGCTTAGTATATCCTTGGTATACCTGGGGCACTGTGTGACCACTGACTTTGTAATCTGCCTTTCTACGCTGTGCAGATGTTTGATGCGTGAGTTTGATGCATGAGTACTGGAGATGTTTACTTCTTTGCTATACTATGACAAGAATTTCCCTGCAAATTGAGATAATATAAGCCTTTCTACAGTTTAGTGAAGGTAAAACACCTGCCTTTATTCCACAATAGGAAAAAGTTTACTGAAGTGATCTTGATTTGGCATTTCAGCCAATCGTAGGCACTTGTTCAGGAATGAGAGAGCAATGTTCCTTGTCCACTGAATAGTTTTCCCTGTTGTCTTGAATATCTGAGATCCATCTGGTTCTTATTCTCTCAGATTGGAGCAGAATCTCTCTGCATATTTTCTATAGCTAGCCTTCAGAGAAATGGGGTTATTAAACTATAGTCCTTTGGGATGTGAGACGTCTAAGATGTTGGAAGAGCAGTTTTTCTAAGGTGCATGGAATTTTGAAGATAAGATGTTGAAACAAATTTCCATATAAAGCTGAGGAGAACCTGACATGAGTGGGGCAATATTTATATCTGATGATGCCCATAGAGTTTAGATCTTCTTCAGACTGCTTCTGCACAATCTCATCTTCAAATAATTTACAGTTTGCAGCTGAAGCAAAACTGGAGGAAGGTGAAAGGATGATACAATAAACTACCAGAGATTAGAAATATTATTTTAATTTAGTCCATAGTATGTGCCGGATCCAGCATCTGCTTTAGTGAGGATGCATTCCTGGGAAGCATGACAATGTGTAGTTGTCCATGTCTGTGAGTGAGTCTGATGTATTTTACTTTTAGCACCTATTTTTTTGCAAGAGAAAAGACAGTCAGGGAATGAATTCTGTTGTTTTCTAAGTTTGTTACTAAAGGGCTGAAAATAGTCTGACCTGTGCTTCTCTTTCTCATCCTCCTGTGGAATTGCCTGTTGCACAGATTTGTAATGCTTCTCAAACTGGGGACTTGCCAATCTTGTTTCTGCTTCTTCTGCTTCCGTCTTAAGTTTTCTTAGGCCTTCCTTCTGCCCACCCACCTGCCCGCCTTTTAGTTGGAACTTACTTATTGAGATAACACAACTCTTTAAAATCATACAGATATGCAAAAGATTATTTCAGGCATGCATGTCTCAAAATATAAAACTATATTTAAGAAAGCAACTGAACTAGGAGATTTTAATTCTAATCCTAGAATTACAGAGTGTTTGAGTTGGCAGGGACCTTTCATAGGTCAGCTAGTCCAACTCCTCTGCAATGAGCAGGTACATCTACAACTAGATCAGGTTATTCAGAGCCGTGTTCAACTTGGCCTTGGACAGTTCCAGGAATGGGGCGTCTATGACTTCTCTGGGCAACCTGTTCTGATGTTTCACCATAAAATGATTTGTGTGGGAAAACACTTCCAAGATCACCGAGTCCAGCCTTTGACTGAACACCACCAGGACAACTAAACCATAATGCTCTCACATCCGGTTGTTTCTTGAATGCTTCCAGTGATGGTGATTCCACAGTCTCTCTGGGCAGCCTGTTCCAATGCTTATCTACCCTTCTTCCTGATGTCCAACCTGAACCGCCCTGGTTCAGCTTGAAGCCATTTCCTTTTGTCCAGTCCCTTTTACCAGGGAGAAGAGACCAACCCCCCACCTGGCTACAGCCTCCTTTCAGGGAGTTGGAGAGAGGTCTCTCCTGAGCCTCCTCTTCTCCAGGCTAAACAACCCCAGCCACTCCTCACAGGACCTGTGCTCCAGACCCTTCCCCAGCCTTGTTGCCCTTCCCTGGGCATTGTCCAGCACCTCAGTGTCTTTCTTGCAGGCTCAGAACCAGACCCAGGACACAGGACTCGAGGTGGGTCCTCACCAGTGCCAAGTACAGGGACGCAATCCCTGCCCAGCTCCTGCTGGCCACACTATTGCTGATCCAGGCCAGGATGCCATTGGCCTTCTTGGCCACCTGGGCATGGGCTGGCTGGTGTTCAGCCACTGTCACCAGCATCCCCAGCCACTTTATCCCTTGGGCAGTTTCCAGCCACTCTGTCCCCAGCCTGTAGCATTGCACGGGACTGTTGGGACCCAAGTGTAGGACCCAGTTACTTGGCCTTATTGAACCTCATCCAGTTGGCTTTGGCCTACTGATCCAGCCTGTCCAGACTCCTCTGCAGAGCCTTCCTGCCCTCCAGCAGATCAACACTCCTGCTGAACTTGGTGTCATTGATCGCCTTGTCCAGATCATCCCTAAAGATAATAAGCAGGGCTGGCCCCAGTGCAGAGCCATGGGAACACCAACCACCAGCTGGATGTAATTGTTCATCACCACTCTGGGTGCATCTATCAAGACAGTTTTTTATTCAGCAAAGAACGTGCCTGGCCAGGCCATGAGGAGCCAGTTTCTCCAGGAGACTGCTGAGAGAGTGTCAAAAGCTTTTCTGAAGTCCTAGTAGACAACATTCACAGCCTTTCTCATCCAGTTGATGGGTCATCCGGTCATAGAAGGGAGATCAGATTGGTCAAGCAGAACCTGCCTTTCCTAAACCTATGCTGGGTGTGCCTGATCCCTTGGTTTCCCTGTAGATGACACTGTGAAGAGTTTCTTCTTAATATCTAATTAAAACCTTCCCTCTTTCAGTTTGAAGCCATTCGCCTTTTTCCTGCTGCTGCATGCCCTTGTTAGAAGTTCCTCATCAGCTCTCCTATAGTCCCCTTTAGGTACAAGAAGGTTGCTATAAGGTCTATATGTGATCTGTAATGTACACATTACTCTTAAGTAGTCTGCTGCTACTCAGATGTTCCTGATTGAGTGCACTCATGTGCTGGATATCTATGAGAGGTACAGAATATGGAGCTTCTCTGAAAAAAAACTCTGGGTATTTCAGGGAGCCACCACTTCAGCTATGTTTTGGCTTGGTCCCATGCTAATTGCTAGTGGGCTGAGTGAATTTGTGGCATGGCCTCCCACTTGTTGGGATTTTGCTCTCTACTGTCTGGTCAGGGGGTTTGTCATTGCAAGTGTATTCCCTGTCTCTGTTATCCTCCACTGTATTCAGCACTCTTGTGACAGCTTCTCCCAGCAGTATCTCCTGTGTCACTTCAGTTTCCTGCTCCTTCAGAATAGCCATCTTGTCTTGAATATGCTTCCTGTCTCTTCTAAAAAAATGCATCTTCCACTTTAAGAAATGTTTGTCTTACAGAAGGCCTCTTCAATCGAAATACAGCAAAGACACTAAACATAGTTTAGTGTGTAACAATGTGTCAGCTGCTTGCAAAGGTGGGGGGTTGTGCTGTAAAAGTAAAATTTCTGGCATGGAAGGCAACTGCTTCTGTTGGTTCTGGCATCTGTAAATACTTAGAGTGTTTTAGCTTACTAGAGATTCTGTGAATAATTTTGAGAATTGTCTATATAGAGTGCTATTCATCTAATTTATAATATGTAAATCACCTTACAAGTAATTGTAATATGAATATGTTTTAAATCAAAATTATTCAATTTCCATAACAGGTGGATTTTGTATAGTATGTTTTCTTCTCTGTTCTCCATTTTTTTCATACACAGAAAGCTTTATCCAAATGAGCTTTTTTTCCCACTAATGTGTTAGTGTAAATTAAGAAGTCAGCATGAAATGCTTTGTAAAATTATAGTTATGTGAAAAGAAACTTGAATGCAGGTGGACTTGAACAGAAATTTCGTGTGCATTCTTTAAGATGCTATTTAATGGGTAGGACCCTTAAATTTACGTTTACACGACTGTTTCCTTGTGTATAATGAATTAGTTTATCTGATAGATCTCTTCTGTAGTTGAAAAGTTCATTTATTATTTCAGTATCAGGGAATAAACAACTTTTTATGAATGCAAAAAAATAATGGGAGTGGGCAAAATAGTGCAAAGTGGCATTTAAGAAACAATTTTAAAATGCTTACTTTTTTATTTCTCTCTGATTTGTATTGCACCAGATAACGAAAAATCTGAAAT